TCTAATGGGATGTGTAATTTAACGTTTCTGGATTTTACAATTTGAATGAAACTTCTATCAGATGCATTCTGACTGTGTTTATAATAATTTCTCTAGCATAATCTCACCAAAACTAATGATGCTTTTTAAGGGGTGGGAATGAACAAAGTCACTTTTCAGAGCAAAAGTACTATCTGTATATTTCGTCTTTTAAAAAAAATGAGAGAGACAGACAGAGAGATCTTCTATCTGCTGGTTTACCTCCTAAATGCCTGCCATGACTGCAGCTGAGCTAGGCCAAAGCCAAGAACTCAATCCAGGTCTGCTATGTGGTTGCCCAAGTACTTGAGCCACCCCGCACTGCTGCCTTTCATGACTGGTTGCCTGCTGGAGACAGGAGTCAGAGCAAGGCGCTGAAGTCAGGTACTCGGATACTGCGCATTCTAACTGCTAGGAAAAGGCCCTCGGGTGTCATTTTTCCTAAGCCTTTCTGGTGATGGCTTTTACAAAATGGAAGTGATTGTACTCATATGCTTTGAATTATGAAGATGCTATCTGTCTAGTCCCTATTTACTTTGAGATATTTTTCTTTTAATTCTCTTACTTTAGAAGAACTGAGATAAGTCAGTGAATATTATGCATACATGCACATTATAAAGGAGAAAAGACTAATTTCTTCAACTAAAAGCTTTTTTTTTTAAAAAAAAAAGCACATCTAATGCATCAAACTTAACAGCAAGGACATCTTCCATGTGTACAGCATTATGTATGCTCTCTCAAAGGATCTCAAAAATATTTTCTGGTGGATGTTGTGGCACAGTGGCTTCAGCAGTGGCTTGCAACAGCAGTTCCTCTAGCAGAATCATGGACTGAGACCCAGCTCACTTCTGAGCCAGCCGTCTGCTGATGTGCCTACAGAACCAGTGGAAAATAGCCCAAGTATTTGCACTCCTGTCACCATGTAGGGGACCATTAGCCAACCTGGCTATTGCGCTTATTTGGGGAGTAAAAAAGTAGATGGAAGGTTCATTCATCTCTCTCCTTCTCCCTTTCCAATAACTAATTAAAAAAAAAAAAAAAAAAAACTTTGTGTGTATGACAGTGACCAAGCCTCTTCAATACAGTTTCTGTTTGCTTCCCTTACATGTTTCAAAGCTGATATTTTCCAAAATTCTTTTTGGCCACTACCCTTTCTTTAGATGTTTTCCATGTCTAAGTTCAGATTCAGGGCACTCAGAGTGAAATCAAGAGGAAGCCAGGTGTGTGTTTCATGCAAGCCACAGCATGTCTGTGAGAATCAGAGGCAGGCAAGGCTACAGAGGTGGCAGGTACTAAAAACCGTAATACAAATGAAACGCAAAGCTGGTTCTTTGAAAAGAGCCACAAAATGGGTAAATGCTTGGCTAGACCAACTAGAAATCAAGATAGAAATGAAATAATTGAAATCATAAATCAAAGTAGGAATAGTACTACTGACCACACAACAATATAAAGAATTAAGATAATACCATGAACAGTTGTGTACCAAGAAATTTGAAAACCTTGGGGGAATGTACAAATTCTTAAACACATGCAAATTATCTAAACACATATGAAATTGTTGGGATTTTATAAATAGCGAATAGGAAATCTGAGCAGACTTATAAGGAGTATGAAAATGAGCCATAAATCAAAAATCCCCCCCAAAAAGAAATGGACCAGATTACTTCACTAGTGACTTACGCTAGTGATTTAGGGAAAGAAAAACAAAAACCTTACACCCATACTTTTCCAATTCCCACAACAAATGAAAAAATTGATCACATTCACTAATTCTTTCTGAGAGCAGCATTACCATGATACCAAAGCCATACAGACACCACAGGAAAAGAAAACAGACCAACATCACTTATGAAGATAGATGAAAAGTTTCATCCAAATGCTAACAAACTGAATCCATGATATTTTAAAAGGATTATTCACCACAACCGTGAGATTTATCCTAGGAATACAGAGTAAACATACAAAAAATGAATACACTCTATTAACAAAATGTAGGAAAAACCTCATCAACTGTCTCAATTTCAAGTAAAGGCATTTGATAAAATCCAAAACCATTTCATGATAAAAGCATGGAGTAAAATAGTAGGCAAGAATTTCTTCAAAAAGATGAAAACCTTTATGAATATTCTACAAAAACATCAAGAACATTTATAAATAACCTACAGCCAACATCACAGTGAGTGGTGAAGACTGAAAACTGGCTTTCCATGTTCAGGAGTAAGACAAGCGTCCCCATTCACTACTGTTACTCAGTGCTCCACAGGAAATTCTAGCCAGAGTAATTAGGCAAGAAAGAGAAATAAACAACATCCAAATCAGAAAGGAAAAGGTAGTATTTCTCTATTTCAAAAACATTGTATTTTTTTAAATTTTTTATTTAGTAAATATAAGTTTTCAAAGTACAGTTAATGGATTACAATGGCCCCCCCCATAATTTCCCTCCCATCTCCCGCTCCCTCTCCCATTCCATTCACATCAAGATTCATTTTCAATTATCTTTATATACAGAAGATCAATTCAGTATATATTAAGTAAATATTTCATCAGTTTGCACCCACACAGAAACACAAAGTGTAAAATACTGTTTCAGTACTAGTTATAGCATTACTTCACATTGGACAACACACTAAGGACAGATCCGACATAACAAGTAGGTACACAGTGACTCCTGTTGTTGACTTAACAATTTGACACTGTTGTTTATGGTGTCAGTAATCTCCCTAGGCTCTGGTCATGAGTTGCCAAGGCTATGGAAGCCTTTGGCTAATCCTCCGCTTTGCGGCGCCGGCACACCGGGTTCTAGTCCCGGTCGGGGTGCCAGATTCTGTCCTGGTTGCCCCTCTTCCAGGCCAGCTCTCTGCTGTGACCTGGGAGTGCAGTGGAGGATGGCCCAAGTCCTTGGGCCCTGTACCCCATGGGAGACCAGGAGAAGTACCTGGCTCCTGCCATCAGATTAGCGCGGTGCGCCTGCTGCAGCGCGCCAGCCGCGGCGGCCATTGGAGGGTGAACCAATGGCAAAGGAAGACCTTTCTCTGTGTCTCTCTCACTGTCCACTCTACCTGTTAAAAAAAATGAATTAATAAAAAAGAAAACATTGTATTTTCTATTAAAAAAGAAAAACTTCTGAATAGTCCTTAAAGAACCATTAAGAGTTATTAGAAGAATTGAGTAAAACTTCTGGGCACTTGTTTAATGTACAACATTTGGTTGCATTTCAGAGCACTCATTACAGAAAACAACTATTTATAATAGCATCAAGCAGAAGGGGATGCTAAAGCTTAAGACATACGCTCAAAATTAGAAAATATTATTAGAACAAATGTAAGGCTGGCACCGCGGCTCACTTGGCTAATCCTCCGCCTGCGGCGCTGGCACACCGGGTTCTAGTCCCGGTTGGGGCGCCGGTTCTGTCTCCGCTGCTCCTCTTCCAGTCCAGCTCTCTGCTGTGGCCCGGGAGTGCAGTGGAGAATGGCCCAGGTGCTTGGACCCTGCACCTGCATTGGAGACCAGGAGGAGCACCTGGCTGCTGGCTTTGGATTGGCGCAGCCATAGTGGCCATTTGAGGGGTGAACCAATGGAAAAGGAAGATCTTTCTCTCTAACTCTGCCTGTCAAAAAAAAAAAAAAAATGAAAGAAAGAAGAACTACACAAATGGAAAATATCCTGAAGAAAGCAATTATGGTAAAGCTAAATATGTATTCAATGCACTCTCCAAAATTTCTTTTTTATTTTTAAAGATTTATGTATTTATTTGCAAGTCAGAGTTACACAAAGAGAGGAGAGGCAGAGAGAGACAGAGAGAGGAGAGAGTGAAAGAGGTCTTCCATCTGATGATTCACTCCCCAGTTGGCCGCAACAGCCAGAGCTGCGCCGATCTGAAGCCAGGAGCTTCTTCTGGGTCTCCCACGTGGGTGCAGGGGCCCAAGGACTTGGGCCATCTTCTACTGCCTTCCCAGGCCATAGCAGAGATCTGGATTGGAAGTGGAGCAGCCAGGTCTCAAACTGGCACCCATGTGGGATGCCAGCACTTCAGGCTAGGGTGTTAACCCACTGTGCCACAGTGCAGGCCCTTCCACCTAAATTTCAATAGCCTTTTTTTTTTTTTTTCTGGAGAAACAGAAAGACTTACTCCAAAAGTCTGTATTAAATTGTCAAGATCCCCAAATAACTAAAATAATCTTGGAAAAGAAGAATATTGGGAAATCAACATTTCCTGATTTCAAAGCTTCCTATAAAGTTACAAATAGTAGCAGTTGTATATCATATTTATGATCAAATAATTTCTGACAAGGGACTGAGATCATCAAATGGTAAAAAATTTGGTTTCAACACGTAGCACTGGAACAAAGGTGATGCAAAAGAGTGATGTTGGACCCTTCCTTCAGAAATGGCTATAAGGGTCACGTGAAATAAATACCTCAAACTTTTCAAAGAAAGCATAGGAAGGGCTGGCGCTGTGGCGCAGTAGGTTAAGCCTCTGCCTGCAGCACCAGCATCCCACATGGGCACCAGTTCATGTCCCAGCTGCCCCTTTTCCAACCCAGTGCTCTGCTAATGGCCTGGAAAAGCAGTGGACGATGGCCTGCAACCGTTTGGGAGACCCCAAAGAAGCTGCTGGATCCTGGATTCAGATCGGCCCAGCTCTGCCATTGCGGCCATTTGGGGAGTGGGCCAGTGGATTGAAGACCTCTGTCTCACTCTACCTCTCAAATAAAAAGAAAGTATAGGAATAAATCTTCGGAAACATTGAACTTGGAAATGATTTCTTGTACATAAATCAAAAACACTAATAAAAAAAGAGGAAGATACATTGGATTTCATTAAAATTTAAATTGCATATAATCAAAGGACTCTACAATGTGCAAAAACAACCCAGAGACTGGGAGAGTGTATGAGGATGATTTTAAAAGTTCATGGAAAATGTGTAGTCTGAAAAAAAAAAAAAAAAAACAACCTTTGTACATGAGAAACAACCTTACCTGTTCACTGAGAGGATGGGCTTGGGCTCGGGCTCAGCAAACACAGTGAAAGCGAGAAAGCAAAAGCCAGCAGCCCACAGAAAGCTGTTTATTTCCTAGCACACAGGGCCCTCCCCCAGTTCCTCACTGGCTGGATACTACTGGATGGCCGTCTTCTCAGCATTTGCTTCAGCTGTTTGGGCCACTAAAGTCCTGCTCGCCTAAGAGCTTTCAGGTGCTCCAGCTGTTCGCCTGGCTAGTTGCCTACTCACAGTGAAACTTCTTACTTTGAAAATGAACCAGATGTTTACTTCTGACATGTGGATTGCAAAATGTTTTTAAGCCAATGCAATTCTATTTTTTAATTCCATTCTTCCACAAACCTTTTTAAAGTGTCTTCTTACTTACAAATTATGTAACTGATAAGGGATTCGTGGAGTATAAATACAGTTCCTATATCTCAACAGTATGACAACAACAACACCTTGCATTTAAAATGGACAAGAAATCTGAATAGGCATTTCTCCAAAGAAGATTTAGAAGTTGCAAATAGGTACTCAAAAAGATGCTCAGAATCATTGAACATCAGGGAAATGCAAATCAGAACCACAAAGCCACTTGTGGATTCATACTGATATGGGTTATTATGAGGAAAATAATCAAAGAATAAACAATGTTGGTCAAATTTCTGAGAAACTGGAAGTCTTGTACATTGCTTGTGGCAATGTCAGATGGCACAGCCACTGTAGAAAATGGTTTGGCAATTTCTCAAAATTCAAACATAGAATTACCATATAATCACATAATTCAACTCCTGGGTATATACTCCAAAGAATTGTAAACAAACAAATAAAATTTTTACAGAAACGTTCCTACCTGCACTATTCCCAAAAGCTGAAATGGAAAACAAACCAAATGTTAATCAGCTGAGGAGCTGATGCAATGGAATTTGGCAATGAAGAGGAATGAAACACTCACACCTGTGAGTCAACCGCCAAACTATGGTGATAGAAGCCAGACACAAATGGTCACGTATTAAAGGATGTAATTTCTATGAAATATCCAGAAGAGACTAATCCATGAAGACAAACAAATTAATGGTGTCCAGGAGCTAGTGGGAGGGAGAAATAAGTAGTTGATGGGTACAGGGTTTCCTTGCGGGTTGATGAAAATATTCTGAAATTCAGTAAAATAACAGAAGGTTATTCTTTTTTCAAAAGATTCATTTATGTATTTGAAAGGTACAGTCACAGGGAGAGGGAGAGACACAAAGAAAGAGATTTTCCATCTGCTGTTTCACTCCCCCTGATGGCTGCAACAACAAGGACCTGGATCCAGGAGCTTCAACCAAGGCTCCCACGTGGATGGCAGGAGCTCGAGCACTTGTGTAATCTTCTACTGCTTTCCCAAGTGCGTTAACAGGAAGCCAAATTGGAAGTGGAGCAGCTGGGACTCAAACGAGCACCCATATGGGAGGGAAGCATTGGAGGCAGTGGCTTAACCACTGCCCACACTGACAACTAGAAGACTGATCTTTAACTGGATTAAAGTAATTCACTTCATAATTTTTTTTTAAATGAGACATCTCAATAACAAAATTTGGTTCATATTTGTAGAAAATATTTCCATCATTGGAAATATTTCCATCATTGTAGAAAAATTTCCATCATTGTTTTCAAATGGGAAGTACCAAAGATTAGTCAAGACCACAGCCTTTTGTGTATCAACACAGCATGTAACTTCAGCTTTCCTCAATTTTCAGGTTTGGGTTTTGTTAAATCCTTTGAGAACTACTTATCACCAGCAAAATAGTCTTTATTTCATTGACTATAAAATGATTCCATAAGAGAAATGGAAATAATCTTGCAAAAATAGACGAGGTTATCACAATGTTTGTGACAACCTAGGAATTCACCAACTTAATGCTGGTATAGTTCACATTTTATGCCAGGTCTTCTTTCTACCTTTAAGTCTGTGCAGACATTTTAAGAACTCATTTACATACATATACACTAGAAGCTGATTATCCTGCACAAGATTTATTAACTTTTTTAATTTATTTTATTTGATAGGCAGAGTTCCCAGCTGCTGGTTCACTCAGCAAATGTCCATAGCAGCTGGGCCTGGGCCAGCAGCTGGGGCTGAGACCCAAGAACACCCACACAGGTGGCAGGGATTCAATTACTTGATCCATTACCTGCTGTCTACCAGTGTGTGCACTGGAATTGGGAGTGGAGCCAGGAATCAAACACAAGCACTTTGATATGGGCTGCAGGCATCCCAGCCAGAATCTCAACTGCTAGGCCAACAACTGCGCCCACACAAGACATTTTTAACCTGAAGAACTCACAAGAGATCCTTGGCTTTTAAAATTTTGGACTGATTTTAGTCCAAGAAGTTGCAAAAGTTTGGCTTTACCATATAACTTGCCTGTGGCATGATAACATGTGAAAAACAAATAAAATATTTTAAAATAATTTAAAAATAAAATACTTATGAGAATGATATCTAAAATATGTGTATTATACCTAAGCAGATCTGCTTTTTCATTCTGAAGTCAGCATTTATCTAGAAAAATACTAAGATGTTAAAATTTTATTCTCATTAGAAGCTGTCAGGCTTAATTTTAAACCTGAAAATATTGTGTATTTGTTATTTTTCTGGAATGTCTGAATTGTTTTCTGTGCATTTTCAGTTATTTTAATCTCCTTATCCTACATCCCATATTATTAATATTTGTAGAATAGAAATGAACCATAATTTATATCATATAGAAAGATCCTCAGAAAATGAATACTATGTTACTGAGTTTCTCTAAGTTTTTTCTTGAAAAGCGGCTTATAAAATATATTTGATATTTTTACTTTAGGAAATAAATGTTACAAATAAATATTTTTGAAATTACTGACCAAAAGCAATTCCTGTCATCAAGTAGTCTGAATAAGAAGTGCTTAATGCTGGTACACAGGCATACGTGTGTATATGTGCAGGGACATGTTGCATTATTGTACATATGGTGTTTCATTGTGTATGAATATTCTTGGTTTAGAGCATCTACATCTGTTTTTATAAAGGATTATATCTGAAGATTTCTAGTTGCAATGAAAGAAAAAAGGAAAGAAAGAAAAAAAATGTTTTTCTTGAAACATACATTTAGAGCTGATATAATACAATGTTTTCTAAGGGGTTATCATATTTTTATTTATAATGTAATCAGGTAGAGAATTCAAATATTCAACTGACAAGGAGCTGATGTTTTATTTAAACTAAGATTCACATCACTTCTTGGCCTTTTGGCTAAGATCAGGTGTAAACTAGGATTTACCCTTTGAACTGTGATAATGGAATATTGCCAAATCTTGCTACAACTAATTTGATCATTAATAACAGGGGATCTCAAACTTTACATCTCACCCCCACAGATTCTGAAACATTAAGTCTGAGAGGAGGCCTAAGAATTTTCTCACCTTCCATCCTCATTTTCTCAGGGCTTCTGGTTCAGGAAACATCAACACCATAGATCTACGCAAAAACAGATCTTATCACTAATCTGTACAAACACAGAAATTCAAAATAAAGAGGAACTGAAAATGTTTTTGTAAGTGAAACAATCAAAAACATACATTCAAACATATTCATTTAATTGAAAACAATATACTCTATCAGAAACACATTTTTCTTTTATAAAGCAAAATATTGAATGTCCTTCTCAATATATTAGAGTTTATTGCAGAAAAGTTAAAATGGAAAAACAAGATAAAAAGAACTGGTGCTGGCATTGTGCATACTGGCTCAAGCTGCAGCTTATGACATCAACATATGATATGTTCCATTACCAACTGATCCAGTTCTGACCCAGACCCCTGCTAATGTGCTTGGGAGAACAGTGGAGGACAGCCCACAGACTTGGGCTCCTGCTACATAGGTATGAGACCAGGATGGAGTTCCTGGCTTCTGGCTTTGTTCTAACGCAGCTCTAACTTGGAAGCCAACTGGGGAAGGAACCAGCAGATGGAAGATATCTTTTTTTTTTTTTTTTCAGGAAATATCTTGTATTCTCCCTCTCTTTCTGTCACTCAGCCTTTAAAGTAAAGAAATAAATATTTTTTAAAAAAATTTATTTAGGTTATACCAATTTCATGTACTTCATGTATGTAGATTTAGGAACACAGTGATACTTCCCACCATTCCCTTCCTCCCTTCCACGTTCCCACATTCCTTCTCCTTCCTCTTATTCTCTCTCTTGATTTTCACAACGATCTACTTTCAGCTTACTTTATACTCATAAGATTAACCCTACACCAAGTAAGAAGGAAAAAACAAACAAAAAAACCCACTGTGCCTCAACAGTAGAGACAAGGGCTATAAACAATCACTGAACTCAAAATTCAATTTCAATCCTATACCTTACATTTTTGGTACCCAAATAAAGAAATAAATCTTTTGAAAAATAATTTGAATAAAAAAGGGTCTTCCAAAAGTTCATGGGAAATGTATATTATGAAAAAATATGCATTGATTTAGAAAAAGTTTGCACCAAAATAAGCTTGTCTTTTGATTCTATTTTTTTCCATGAATTTCTGAAGTTTACTTATATGCATATTGTTCTTTTTGTATATATGTAAACATCCATCTATCATCCACTTAGGATCACTCCTCAATACTCACAGTAATTACATTCAGTAAAATTGCTACAAACACTGAATTAGCATATACTGGACCCTGAGGAATGTCCAGTCCATTAAATCATTTGGTCTGACCATGCCAAAGCAATTGCAGGTAGAACTTCAAATTCAATAAATCTATAGCAGGCTAATTTTCAAGTGATAGTTTTGTATGGCTTGTGAATAATGTTATAACTATCCAAATGGCCCTTGGCAGAAAAAGGCTCCTCACTCCTGAAGGGTCCTGAGGGCCTCTGGTCATGACATTTTCAACAGCTGATCCGTAAATAACTTTATTTTGTATGTGATTCTGCTTAAAGGCACCTTTTTCAATATATGATGTTGATTAACACTGTTTCCTGGCCAATGGAACTGTAGCTCAGACCCGAAGGAAGCTTATTTAACACCCCTGCTTTCCCCTTGAGCCACATCAGTCTTTCTGTGCCTAGAACACATGACAGCACTTCA